ACCACAAAGAGATTTTGTCTGGATCCCGTGAGGAAAAGTCTTCTTGGACAGAGAAAGTGACTCCTACCCAGACCAGTCCTCCCTGCCAGGCTTGTCCTACACTCACACCATGACTATTTGTGGCTCCTTGCAGCAGCCAAGACCTTGTCTCAATATTATTTCCTTTCTGATGCTCGTAAAGAAAGAAGGAACCCATTACTTTTTAATCCTTTATCAAAACTTTGAAGATTAACCCCATTTTCAGAATTAAAATAAGATGGAAACATCCTTTTGGTGCTTGAAGGGGACAGAAATGTGGCAGAGCAAAGCCAAACCTCACAACCAGATTTGTTACAGAAAGTCATTATTTATGGCACTGAAGGGATGGGGCTGATCCACTCTCAGGTTACCTCACATTTGATCTGGCCAGAATTTGTTGCTTTAGAGACAGAAGAAATCTTATTTCCTTAAGTTTCTTGCTTTGCTATTGTCCATCCTGTGCCTGGCATCAGCAGTACTGCACTAAAACAACCAGGATTTCTTCTCACCTGGTTAGGACCAGTCTTATGCAGAGCCCCACATTCGCAATTCCCTTCCACTCACAGTTATTATTCCTTGGCAGACCACTCAGTAACTTTCAGAATGCTTTTTCCAACATTTTCACCACAATTTTCAGGGGAAAAAAAAGCATTCCATGGGAAATCACCACCTTTCAAAAGGTTCTGTCACAGAAACACCACAAATATTGGCACCTTTCACTGGAAAAAAAAAGAATAATAATCGTGCAAGTTTGCTGCACTAATGTCTCAAGCAGCTGTGCTCCTCTTCCTCTGCTTCTAAAATGGCCAAGGCCAAATATGCAAGAGACAGCCAGGAAAAAAATGTCGAGATAAAAGTAAATTTAAAGCTTTTATATCAATTTCTCTGCCTGCTTAGCACAGCATCACTTCTCCCTCTTTCAATCACGCATTGCAGGTGACACCTTGATTTTTCCACAGCCTCTATTCAGAACCCACTTCTCAAGCATCATCCTCCCACAGACACATTTTGAGATGTTCTGCCCCAAATTCCAAACGTTTCCAGGTCATTCACATAACCCTGGACGCCACCATGTTCAGGTGCTGGGCGAGGAACTGTCTGGGCTGAAAGAAGTCTGGCAGTTCCTCTGCACCAGGCTTTTTGTCAAGACTTTTCTTTCCCACCCCATGGGAAGAGGGGGTTTCATGGAGAAGAGGGACCTTCCATGAATGAGGAAACACCATCCTGTAGTAAACTGGGACCATGGGGAGGACCTGGGCATGGCCCCAAACACCTCTTTTGCCTCTTGGCTGTAAGATCCCTTTAGCAAGGGACAAAGAGTTTTTCACCCAACCTTAATTTTCCTGAAGGTCTCTTCCAACCTAGTGATTCTGTGATTCATCCACCAAAATCATCTCTGATTTTGCCATCACCAAGGCAGACCAGACATCCTGGACACTGAGTAATTTTTCATTCTTCTCTACTCGTTAAGTAGCAAAGAATTCACTTGTGAGCCATGTGTTTATTATTTCTGCTGTGTCTCCTACGTGCCTGACACACGGGACCCCAGGGGTGCTGCTCGCTGCTTTTTGATCAGTAACACATTCCTTGGCTCCCAGAGGAGCAGAAATCCTCAGTGAGATTGGGTCAGATTTGGAAAACTATTTTATAAGTATGTAAGTAAATAAATGAAGAGGGGGAAATTCAGGGGGATGATTTTGAAAAGCACATTTCAGTTCAGAAGCCACACATATTTCACAGGGTGGCAGAATCGTAGGACTGGCACCACAAAGGTCATTAATCTCAGAGACCCCCTAACTTGTACTTCAAAGCTTTCAGTGATGGAAATTCCCACTGCTTCCTGTCAGTCTATCCCAGCCCTCCAATCCCCATAGCCTTAAACTGATTTCCTAACAACCACCACTAATTTCCTTCACTGAAAGGCTCATGACACCCTCTCCTGCCCATGGTGGGTTTCCCATCCCTGGAAATGTCCAAGGCCAGGTTGGACAGGGCTTGGAAAAACCTGGGAGAGTAGAGGGTGAAGGTTGGAATGAGATAATCGTTGGAGTTGGAATGAGCTGATCCTTAAGGTCCCTTCCAACACAAACCACTCCATGATCCCATGGTGGACAGCACTCCCTCCCTCTTTGCTGTGTCTCCAGTAAATGAAGCAACATCATTTCTTGTGCTAATTCCACACAGTTCACACTTCCCACACCTCAGCTCAACCCTTCTCTCAACCCGTGTCCCTCTCCTTCAGGCATTTGTCACTGGGTTTGGAATTTTGAATAGGCAAGGCCACAACCTTTTTGAAATTAAAACTGACCCGCATTAACAGAGACAAAATTGCTCCGTAAAACCACAAGAGCATTGTTCTCCTGCTCGGTTGCAACGTTTCCTTGGAAAAAAATTATAATTGAAACCCATTTTTTCACTTCAACACAAGTTGCTGCTGTGGTTTGAGCTTGGTTTTTGGTGGCAGGGGAGATATTTTTGGCTGGACATTCTGATGGATTTAAACCTGGTATAGAAAACAGGCTGACCTGTGAGAAGCAAATATCTTGTCCAGCATGAAATTTTGGAATTCTGGTTTACATTCCTATTTATTTTTAAGCAAGTGACCGTGACCCTGTCTTGTCCAGTGATGTCCAGTGGTGCAACTGCTCCTTCCACAAGCACCATCAGGACCCTGGGGCTGTAATTTGTTGCCAAGACCTCTGCAAGGGGGAATTCCATCCTTTTTTAGCCCCCACAGCTACTTCTAATCTTACAATGTGGTGTCAGCCTAATGAAAAAAGCTGACTTGTGCCACGTGGAATTAAGACATGGATGGAAACTTTGGGGCTGATGAGGATTCCTGCAGGATTTAGCCCCAGGTGTCCTGAAAGATTTTTTTGCCCATGATAGAACCCCTGCAGGAAATGATTGGCTAGAAGGGAACTCACCCACATGGAGGCAATGCTTGGTTGCCTCCAGAGGCTGGTGAACCGTGGAGGAGCAGTGAGGAAACTCCTTTTTTAACACAGATGGAAAGGAAAGAATGAGGGGAAGGAAGGACGGCAAATAATGAAGTAACAGTGTGCCCAGGAGCTCCTACTCTGCTCAGCACATCCCTGTGAAATCCATCCATGAGAATCCCCCCTTCCCACACCTGCTTGAGATGACAAAAATCCTGGGCTGTTTCTGAAAATGTCCTGAAGGCCTTTTCGGATGCTGACGTGCCCATCAAGGTGCCCAAAGAGGATTAAAGGTTGAAAGGTCGGTCAGGAAGAAAGTCACAAAGCATAAATAAAGGAGCTGATAGTCCAAATTATGAGGGAATGGGATGCCCATCCTGGGATTTTGTGGGTTTAGTAAAGAGGGGGTGGGAGCACACCACCTCCGCTGAAAGCCCGGGGTATAAAAGCATCCCAGAACACCACACGCTGATTAAACGAACATGGAAATTCATTGCAAAAGAAAAGGAAGAATAATCAGCAGCACCTCTGCAAAATTTTCACTTTAATATGCTTTGGGTCTTTCCTCCTCCACCAGAAAATTCAGGTTTTGACTTTGCAATCCTCACGGGGCAGCAATAGCCCTCTGTAGGCAGAACAAAAGAAGAATGGGACAGAAGGGCTTTTTCACTGATTTTTGGGTACCAATAAAATGAAAATGCTGCAGGAGGCCTGGGAGAAGAAAGCAGAATATGAACAAGAAATCACAAGCTCCTCAGCCCTCAAATCTTCTGATAAAAATGACTTAAACCTTGACAGAATGACTGACTGAGCATATTAATGAGGGTGCCTGGGCTGCCCTGCAGCTGTCCTTTTTGTATTCCTCATTTCCATCTGCCTTCTCCATCTCCAGCACGTACCCGAGCCTGGACCATGTGCGTGTGCTCTGCATGCAGCAGGAGCCGTCACTGCTGGCAGTGTCCTGGTTTTGCACTTTTAAAGATCCCGAATCAATTAAATACCAGAGCAGCCCATCATGAGAGGCAAGAAGTAGCCCCAAATCACGAGTGGGGTAACTAAAGCACTTTGAAGAGCATTCAGTGGGGCATAATCGGCCACAAAGCCCCAAGGAAACACCTGAGGAGGTCTGAGATGCAAATACCCCACAACAGAGCAAGAGCTATTCCCTCCCAAAAGTGCCACAGCAAGCAGGGATAGCTTGAAATATCCATGCTCCAACTTAGAGCTCTGGAATTTTGAGCCTGACCTAAATTTGAATCAGGAATGAAAGTTATAGGCTTAGTGCAGATCCTGGGAAGTGACCAGGTTAGAAGCAGCAAGTCCACTCTTCCTGTAGATCCCTTGGAGATTTCCAACTTTGCCAGAAGCTCTGTCTAAAACAAGCGTTATCTTTGCAGTGGTTTCAACAGCTTCAGTGGAGGAGCTGGTCAGAACAAAATATTCCATCCAGTGAGACCATTGAAACCATCTGTGTGGTGGAAGAAAGCAAAAACTCTCAAAAATCCCAGATGTGCCTCTCTACAAGTGGGGAATTAAAGATTCGATCCTTCCCCGCACTGTCTGCAGCACCCAAAGGCTGCTGTGCTGGAAGCTGAGCACCCAAACTTCCACATCCCCTCAGCTTCAGAGCCGGGTCCCTGATCTCACCTTCTCCTGTCACTCTCATTTCCAAGAAACTCAGCTGGATGAAACTCGTGCATTCCCGTTTATCATCTACTTTCACCATTTTTAAGATAAAAAAGGTTGTGCCTGAGAGAGAGCCCACTGGGTGAGCATCTTGGAGCATCAGTCCCACCTCAGAGCATTCCCAATTCCAGCACTGGGAAGCTGTCAGGAGGAAACACAGACACACCCCCTGTCCTGGGCCACAGCAGCAGTTTGTCTCACTGGACATCCCACCTAAATCCTAAAGGTCTTAATAATCACTGGACCTTAGATGGGCCAAATCCTTAAATACCCTCAGGGAACATGCCCAGAGGATCACCAGACAACAAACAGGCATTAGGAAGGAAGCAAAACTGCTGGAAAACCGTTTGCACTTACCTTGAGAGTCCTGTGTTCAGATTAAATCATGCCCCACTCAATCTTAGCTGTCCAGCAGAGTTGAAAATCCCCTTCCAGATCATCAGCTTGGGACCATCAGCTCCTTTGGATGAGCTTCAATCCTTGGAGCAAGCAGAAGGAGAAAGCCCTAATTCTTCTTGTCGTCGTGTGTTGAGTTGCTGTTGGTGGTTTCCTGTTGCCAGCAGCTGAATGACAAATGAAGCTGGTGTGTTACACGAATAGCAGCACTATGACCACACTTCTCACACACCAATAACATCAGAGTGGGGTCTACCTTACAAGAACCCACAAGGGCTCCTCAGGCTGTAAGAAGTCCGGTCCTGCTGCAAACTGGGCCCCGAATTGCCCTCATTCAGTCTGGGGTGAGGTGAAAGTCGTCCCCTGGAGCCTCAGGGTATAAAGCTGGTCTGAAAATGGGAGGAGAAATATGGGTCTGGAGTTGTCTAAATTGGCCCATTCACAGCCCAGAGCAGTCTGAGCCAATAGAAGGGGTGGGGTTATTTATCGCCTGCACTTGGCTTTCAGAGAGCTTATCACTAGTCAAGTTTGAGTTTGAGAAGTTTCTTTTTTTGTAATCAGCTGGGTTATGGGGCTGTAACCTCACTCACTTTCCATTTGAGGTTCTGTTTCCGCTTCAGACCTCACCTAAAGAGACTGGTCATGTTCTTCCTCCTTTCTTCAACAAGAACAAGACAGCTGATGCCATGTAGGGCAGAGGGGGAAGAGCACAGGAGACAGCAGACAGCACATCCTGCTATCTCTTAATCACTTGTGTGTGAGATTTCGTGAGATCTGCCTTCCCTCTCTGTTTTGTGCAATTAACTGCTTGTGGTACTGCACCAAGCTCTGCCTGTGCTGAGCACCCAGTGCCCATCAGGAGCTGCCGTGGGCGAGGCCCAGCTCAAATCTCACTGCACTGGGGGATTTCAGTGTCTTCCACTCCAAAGGGTCTTTGGGCACCAGAGAATCCCAGAATGGGTTGGGTTGGAAGGGACCTTAAGGCTCGTCTTGTTCCATCCCATGCCATGGGCAGGGACACCTCCCACTATCCCAGGCTGCTCCAAGCCCTGTCCAACCTGGCCTTGGACACTTCCAGGGATCCAGGGGCAGCCACAGCTTCTCTGGGCACCCTGTGCCAGCACTTCACCACCCTCCCAGGGAACAATTCCTTCCCAATATCCCATCCATCCCTGCCCTCTGGCAGTGGGAAGCCATTCCCTGTGTCCTGTCCCTCCATCCCTTGTCCCCAGTCCATCTCCAGCTCTCCTGGAGCCCCTTTAGGCCCTGGAAAGGGCTCTGAGCTCTCCCTGGATCCTTCTCTTCTCCAGGTGAGCACCCCCAGCTCTCCCAGCCTGGCTCCAGAGCAGAGGGGCTCCAGCACTTGGAGCATCTCTGTGGCCTCCTCTGGACTCTCTCCAGAAGCTCCAGGACCTTCCTATTTTTGCCATGCAGTGCTCTGAAGCTCCATCATTCTCATTTTTACTCTCACCCCCAGGGTTCCAGACCCACCAACTCATCTGAAGGCTGGGAAACCGATGAGTGTCACCTCCTCCTGATCCTGCTGGATTCTGGATAAAGCTGCTGTGCGTTGAGACAAGGAGAAAGGAAAAGCAGCCAGAGCCTCATCGAACAGGACAACAGGAATCCTGCCTGAGACTGGCTGAGCAATGGGATGGATGCTTGTCAGCTTTTTTTTGAGACGAGGGATGAAAATATTATTTAAGAGAAGGTTGGATCTTCAGTCTTGGTCCTACAGTTCCAAGGATCACCACTGGCTGAGATAACACCCTTCTTCTGATGGATTTCTGCAGAGGAAGTTGTCTGGAGGCAAATTCCAAAGTGTGGATCTCTCTGGAATGGTTCACATGGGGAATGTTGCAAACGTTTGATTATTTGGCTCATTCGTCAGTCTGAACAAACAGCCAAGAAGAGGAAACTAACAAGCAAACACATTTCAAGTGCTGTTTGCATTTCAATGCCCCCAAAAGAGTCAGTTTGGTTTAGAAATAGAAAAAAATTCCAACAGCTGGGGTGAAAGAAAGACAAAAAAATCAAATTACTGATCTTTCATTTTATCGTCCTGGGTTGAGGAGATTGTCCAGATTCAATTTGTCAAGCCACCAATTGCTGAAATAGAGCTGTGTTCCCTGACAATCAGTTACAAATCCAGGGAATTCCACCCAGCTCCTGCTGCAGGAGAGAGCAGGAAGTGATTCTGGGGTGACAAGGGAGGGAAGCTGCAGCTCAGACTCCACCCTGCATTCATCCCAACTTAAAGCAAGAGTCTGAGATGGGCTTTTCTTACCTTTCCTTTCCTTACAAAGCCTAGGAAATAAATTCAGGGCACCCACAGCATTTTTAAAGACCCCTCCAGTCCTCCTGTGGGTTTTGGTGGTGAAGTCTTACTGGATGGACAGGTAAGACTGGAGAAAGAATTTTTTTTCACTATTCACTTTTGGAATTAATTTACCAAATATTTTGAGTGAAAGTAGAACTGAAATCCTCTTTTTCCAGCAAAGAAGATAGGTGGAAAAAACATATATTTTTATATTTTACAATATAAAATAATATATAATATATATATAATATAAAATATTTATATTTATATTATCAACTTCTTTAGCTCTCAAAACTATCTTAAAGGTAAAGTCACCCCATGACAATATTTATATTTATATTTATATTTATATTTATATTTATATTTATATTTATATTTATATTTATATTTATATTTATATTTATATTTATATTCTTACATACTTATATATATTATATATATATGAAATATTTTAAAATATAAATTTTCAAGATTTTTAATGCTTTTTACTTTTATGGATTGCTGCAATGAATTGGGTAAGTAGGTTTATCAAAGGAAAGCCATTACAAAACAGTCAAAATCTTTGGAAAGGGTCTTGATTTTATTTGAAAATGATTCCTAGTTCTTCAGTTCTTGGGAATTTTTTTGAGTTGAGGGAAGAATAATTCACTAAATCAATATACACACTTACAACTTCGTCATGGAATCACCAAATGGATCTAACTTTTACCTTTGAAAAAAAAAACCAAATTGGCTGATAATTCCCACCATGACTTTGGTAGGATTTCAGGCACAATTGTCCTTTGGTCTTTGATGTTTGACTCACCTGGGAGAAACCCATAGAGAAAATAAAGTAGATACCCCAAGGAAGGAACCTGATCTAGTGGAAGGTGTCCACTGGATGGAATTAGATGATCTTTAAGGTCCCTTCGAACTCAAACCTGTCAGTGATTCTGTGGAGACTGAAACAGGCCAGTGCCAGGTTCCTCAGTGATCCAAGAGATCATCATCCATGGAGATGAGCAGCCAGGTGACCACAGCTGGTCTCTGGGGACACCAGGGGACACCAGGGGACACCAGGGGACACCAGGGGACAGCATCACCTGGAGCCCTGCTGCCCTCTGGAGGTGCCTCTGCCACATCTCCAGGTAGATTTGCTCCCAGGGGATCCTCCAGAGGACTTTCCTGGTACAAATCCCCGTGGAGGGTGTGGAGGCTGCTCCTGGCTAGGATGGGATAATGATGGTTGGGAGCACCACAGCCTCCTCTTCCCATCCTTGGGAGGCTGAGCCCCACGGAACCATAGATCACAGAATGGTTTGGGTGGAAGGGACCTTAAAGACCATCCAGTTCCACCCCCTGCCACCTCCCACTATCCCAGGCTGATCCAAGCCTCATTTCCAGCCAGGCCTTGGACACTTCCAGGGATCCAGGAACAGCCACAGCTTCTCTGGGCACCCTGTGCCAGGGCCTCCCCACCCTCCCAGGGAGGAATTTTTCCCTAATATCTCATCTAAAGACACTTTCTTGAGCGAGAGTGTCAAATTGAAATTTGAACCCTTTCCCTTTGTCCTGTCACTCCATGTTCTTGTCCTAGCTTTCCTGTAAGTTCCCTTCAGGTACTTTAGCAACTCTTCTTCACAGGGACTTTGCTTTAGGGGAAAAGCATTTATCTGGGGACCAGCTGAGAAGAAACCATTGATGCTCCTGTAGGATTCCAGCACTGGTCCCACAGAACGGCCACACAACCCTGCCAGGAGATCCAGCTCCTCCACACTTTGTTAGCAGGATACCTGCAGGGAGAAATTGCCCAAATCCAGCAGAAAGGGCAAGAAGCAGAAGGTTCAAATCCAAATTGAGTTGAGCTGCTGCTGTTCTCATAAAAGAATGGTCATTTCTGCCCATTTTGGGTGGTAAGAGGCAGCTCAGAAGGTCCAGGTAAGATTCAGGGGGCTCTAAGGTACCTTAAAGCATGTTCAGATCAGCACAGGGGATCCCAAGGAAGCCTGGCTGCCCCTGGATCCCTGGAAAAGTTCAAGGCCAGGTTGGACAGGGCTTGGATCAGCCTGGGATAGTGGGAGGTGTCCCTGCCCATGGCAGAGGATGGAACAAGATGAGCTTTAAGGTCCCTTCCAACCCAAACCCTTCCATGATTCCACAAACCACCACTACAACAAGCCATTTCCAGCTTTGCAAAACCTCATCCCAGCAAAAACTCAGGCTTGGATCCATGTGGTCCCAAGAATTCAACAGTCCTCTGGAAAAGGTCCTGTGCTCAGGGATGCTGTGGGAACAGGCAGTCTCTGGAGCTCCATGGGCAACAGAAAGGATTCCTTGTGCCTGAGGAAAAGAGAAAAATGCTGAGCCGTAGGTGTTGACAGTGCTGGTGTTGCACAGGTTTATTTTGACTGATCACACCTAATTTCAGGTGTCCACTGCAGGTGGTTGGTGTTAGAGCATCACCAGTGGGAGCACCACTGTCCCTCAGCAGCTCCCCAGCAGGTTTTTTTTGGATGAAGACAACTTATCCAAGATAATTCCAGGCCAAAAAACACTCAACCCCCATGGACTGGCATCAGAGGGACACGGCTGCAGCCTTTCACTGCTATCTTATGGCAGCTCATTTGAAATCCATTACGCAACCGAATTAAAAATAAACATTTACAGAAGAGGGAGCGGTGACAGTGTGTGGTCTGTTCCTGTGAGGAGACAGACAGACAGACATCCAGCCTTGGGAGCAGCACCTCTGCTGCAAACTCACCCTGCTAGACCTGGGCTCTGGCCCTGACACAAACTGACCCTGTCTGGCCATGTCCCTGCAATTCACCGCTCCTGGCTATCAAATCTGACTGGCTGAACCCAACTTGTTTGTCAGGAAGGGATCCCTTTGTCATTCCCTAGCCATGTCCTGGGGCTGCTCATCCCACACCAAAAGCAGGCCAGGGGCTCTTTCACCCTGTGCCTGTCTGTTCCCTGGTGCTGTTTGGCTCATGGGCACAGACTAGGTTTTCATTTGGATGAGATGTTGCTGAAAACATTGAACCTCCACGTGCTGGGTGGAGCAGGCTCTGCTCTGGGGAACCCAGCAACAGGATAACAGGAATGGGCAGGGATTGATCCCAGCAAGTTCCACCTGAATAGGAGGAAGAACTTCCCAGTGCAGTGACCGAGCCCTGAGCAGATTGTCCAGAGAGGGAGTGGAGTCTCCTCACTGGAGATATTCCAGAATTATCTGGACACAATCCCTGTGCTCTGGGCTGGCCCTGCTGGAGCAGAGAGGCTGGACCAGTTGACCCACTGTGATCCCTTCCAGCCTGACCCATCTTGGGATTCTGGGATTCCTTTTGCTGCTAAAAGCTCCTGTAGGTCTTTGTCAGACAGTTTTAACATGCAGCCAGCAGCTCTTCCATCTCCCTTGGTGCCTCTCCATCATCATCAGCCTTCAGGTGCCTCCCTGCAGCACAGTGAGAGCTGATCACCAGGCTGAGTGTGCATACAGAGATCTGAAATCTGACAAAAAAAAAAAATGGATGCTAGCAAAGCAGGAAAAAAAAAAATAAAAAAATTTGCATTTTCATCAGAAACATGAAAATGCTGCTGTTCATTCTGAATCTGCATTGCTGCATCCAGGGCACCCCCCTTCTCTGCACTGCAAACTTCCAAACCCTGTGCAGGCACAGCCTCTGAGTTCCTGTGGGGGTCTGGGGTACCCCTGGCATTCGAAGGGAGGTGGGAAATGTCAGCCCTTCCCTGCTGGAGCTCAGGAAGGGGCTGTAAATCTCTCCCTGCTGCCCGCGGCGGGGAAGGAGGGATGGTTCAAGCAGGAGAAGGGTGAAAAAAAAAGAAACAAAACAAAACAAAAACAGGTTGTGAAGGGGTTTCTCTCACAAAAGCTGGATGTGGGAATGTGGGAAAGGGGCCTGGATGGTTGGGGGTCCCTGGCCAAGGTTTAACCCTTCGCAGCACCAGCTTTGGAAAGGCAGGCGGTGGCTCTGAGCCCCCAGGTGTTGGATGTGTGGGATGCTTTGGAGAGCGGTCCCCAGGCTTTGAGGGGTTAATCTCCAGCTTCTGGGGAAGGAAGGAAGAAAGGAAACCCCCTCTGTCCCCTGCCTTTGACTCTGGAGCTCACTCTGCCAGCAGCCGGGCCACTGCCTCTCTCAGTCCTTCCTCGGAAGCAGCTAAAATGGTTTCCAGCCCCACTGGGGCAGCTGTGGAAGCAACAGGAGCTTCCCCAGCACAAAATTCAGGCACAGGCTGGTTCCTAAGCTGGTTTCTGCCCGGGGATGGATGGTACCAGCCAGGGTGCCCCGAGGCACCACCCTGGGGCTTCCCAGAGATGCTGATGCATCCTTGCAAAATTGCCCTGGGCACACACAGGGACCGTGGGCGAGCTGTGGCACCTGGAAAACGATATCCCAAAGCTCTCCCGAGGAGCCCAAACTCCTTGGGGGTGCTGACATCCGTGGTAAGAAACACGATCAGCATGGGGACACCAGCAGGTTGGTGCCGGGAAGAGCCATAAATTCCTTCGGGAGCGCAGCAGCTCTCCGGGCATCTCCGGCAAGCCTTGAGGGTACCTTCCCTCCCCTGGACCGCTCCATCCCTGTTCTCCACGCCGAAAGCATCGCTGATCTTCCTCTCCGGGGTGCCGGAGGATGTTTAGGACCCAGGCTGTGCAGCTCCTCCCTTTCAGGTCTCTCCAGGGTTATTGCTTGGTGGGAGGTAGGTCCAGGGCTTGGTGGTATGAATGAAAGAGAGAGAGGAATCGGCGCTGAAAAGCTCAAACTGGAATAGCTCGCCTGTCTCCAGGCAACAGCCCTGACGCAACCGCTGGGGGAAGAAAAAAAAAAAAAAAGTCCCTTAAATGAAAAAAAAAAAAAATACCAAAAAAACCCAACAAACCAACCACCACACACACAGATTTCTGAAGCGAGACACAGAGGAGGAGGATGAGCCAGACTCCGGGAGGCACTGGTGACACCGCTCCGCAAACACCAAGTTGGGGACCCGAGGTGGAAGGAGGGAGCCAGGATGTCCGTGCAATCCCCTCTCTGACCCCAGCCCCGGTAAGTTTTTCGCTGGTGGCGGCCTGGGGGGACAGAAGCACCCCGGGGACACCCAGCACGGGGAGCTGCCGAGAGCTGCCCGGGGCTGGAGGGGACCCCCGGCAAGGAGCAGGTCCCTGGGGAACAGCAGAGAGGGGTGATGGGGACCCCACCAGCTCAGCCCTGGGCTCTGGTTCTGCCCTGCTGGGGTTTGCAAAGTGTCCCCTCTCCGCAATCTCCTGCCTCGCCGGCATTCCCTGGGGATGGCCGGGTGGCTCCCCATTGACTGGGAATGTCTGAATCCTCTTTGCCGATGATGTTTGTGGATTTTGCTCTCAGCTGGGAGCAGCGTGGTGCTTCTCACCCCCTCCAGGAACACCCGCACTGGGTGAGGTGTGACAGGGAAGAGGCTGGCCGGGTTTCGGGACAATCACCTGTTGCTCCCTCTGCCCCCCGCCTGAGATGTGCAGGAGCCCTGGGAAGGTTTGTGGGGTTGTGCAGTGCAGACATGGTGGGATGAGCGTGGTGGCCTCGCAGGGCGTAGCTACCGAGGGTTTTTGAATCAGGCACCGTGTGCTGAGCAGAGCAGGTTTCCACCTGCTCAGCTCTGGCCCTCGCAGCTCACGTTTACACCGAGGAGGGGGATGTTAAAAAAAAAAATACCACCAAAAAAGCCAGCCAGAACTTCTTCAGAGCCCTTCATAACGGCTTGGGGCTAATTGTTAAAATAATAGCGCCAGCCCACACCCCTCCCAGCAGGAGTGTTTGTGCAAGCCCAGCCCGAGAGCCCCGGGGTGTTGCACCAGGGCATCATCCCCATCCTGCAGCCGGACCCGCTCCGCTCCGGGCGGGCTGGCACCTCTCCCATCACAGGCACCTCTCTAAGGACACCCCTCCCTGTTTTCCTGCCGTGCTCCCCCTCTTATCCCACAACCCTGCGCCCTCCGGAGCTTTCCTACATCGGGGACCTCAGCGGAGGGCTGGGGGGAAATGGATGAAAAGCAAGTTCCTGGCTTCCAGCGAGGAGCTGTGCCCAGCTGGCTCCTCTGGCTTTGTCTGCTCATCCCCTGTATCCGAGGAACTCCCCACTTTCCAGCGGGAACGAGCCTGTTTTGGCAGCTGTGGGTTCGCTCTGTGCCAGCCATCATTTCAGCACACGGGAGCTGCTGCTGGCTTTTGCATCCCAGCTCTTCTCTGCTTTCATATTCCCATTAAAGTCCCCCCCATCCTTCATGGCGGGGGAGGAGGGGGTCTGTACACCACAAAAATCCAGCAGAACGGGAGGAATCCGGCTTCTGCCGGGCTCTGGGCTTGCAACAGCCCCGCAGCCATTAGGTGTTTGCAAAATGTAGCAGAGACACTGCGGGGAAAAAGAGAAAAAAAAAAATAAAAATAGAAAAAAAATAAATAAAACTAATCAGCCTCAGAGCAGCATAGCCCTTCTGCGGGGAGGGAGTGGAGGGTCTGTTTGCAACCAGCTGATCTTGAATGCTATTAAATTCCACAGTGCTGGGAGAAGACAGGTCTGAGGACAGAGGCTGGACGATCATGGTTTGGATAATTGGATGGGACAAGGGGCATGTAAAGGGGATTAGAGGGTCACCGAGGGGCTGACCCCACTCCCCTGATCATGTTAACTTGGAGCCTGGGGCTCTCCAGTGGGAGCTGGCCCTGGTGTTGTCCCTGCAGGGGCTGAGCTCGGTGCTGGGCAGATTGGACCTCAACAAAACAAAACACAGAAAAAGGTTAGGGTTTGTTTTGTTGTTTGTTTTTTTTTTCTGAAAACACACCCTTGCCTCCTGCATTTGGGGAAAAAAATAACTCCCTGTACTAGTCTCCTGGGAAGAGAGGATTTCTCAGCCTGCCCTGGCTCATTCCCAAGGAGTCCCAGCCCTTTTCATTACCCTGGGCACACGGGCACAGGGGTCCCCATCTCTCCTTGCTGAAATGTGGCCCTGCTTGGGGTGGCAGCAGGGAGAAAAGGGGAACACGTGGCTGTGCCAAGCCACAGGTCCTTTGGGGGCATCTCTGGGAACAGGTTAGCTGTGCCACCTCCAAAACCTGCCAGGAGCCTGGGGCAGGGCGTGGAGAAGAAACCCCTGCCCATAATCCATGGCTCCACAGACCTCAGAAGAACATTCCGAGGGTGGGCATGGAGACTTCACCAAGAGCCTGAAAACTTGCCTTTGCTTCTGCTCCTTAAGCCTTCTCCTCCTACGAGGAATCCTACCTGGTCTGGGCTGGTGGGTCGAAGGCACTGACCCCGTTCAGCTCCCCAGTTTGAAGCTGCTTCCAGCTGACTGGAAGACTGGTTTGCTGGAATGCCAAACACCTCTTCATGCAGGATTTCCACACAAAGCCTGTAAATCTGCTGATCGAGGGGAACCTAACAGTCTGAAAATGGAGCTCAGGGGTCCATCTGAAGCAGGCAGCAGGTTCAGCCCTGCTCCCCCACCAGGAGGCTGCTAGGAGCTGCGAGGGGGACGCAGGAGGGGTGAGGTGTAGTCGGGCAGGAAGGTGCAGATGTGTTTATTGAAACAGGTTCAGACTCTACCAGTGATGCTGGAAATCAGCCAGGGAGAAGTGCCTCGGGGCAGGGAGTGCAAACTGGTCCCCTCTAATCTCACAGAATCACAAAATGGTTTGGGCTGGAAGGGAGGTTCCTTCCATAAGGCTCATCCACCCCCTGCCATGGGGACACTCCTGCCATGGACACCTTCCTCTATCCCAGGCTGCTCCAAGCCCTGTCCAGCCTGGCCTTAGACACTTCCAGGGATCCAGGGGCAGCCATCTCTGCATCCCTCCACCCCTCTGATGGATTTTCTGCAGCCCTCACTGCTCCCCCCTCCTCCCTTGCAATGTTCAGGGCTTTTTCTGGAGGCCATTTGGGCAGAAGGATGTGCTGGAGCAAACCCTCATCTTGCTCCAGGTCATATGTGAATGGAAAGCCTCTCTTTTTCCCTTTTCCCGTTTTTCTGTGGATGCCATGTCCATGTCTGTGCTTGTAACGCCCATTTCGGTCTCATCAGTGCTGTTGTTTTTCCATGGAGAAAGGTACAAGCTCACAGACAGGAATGTGGCCAGAAAGTCTCCATGGGCACCATGTTCAGTGTCACTGAGGGCTCTGCCATGACTCCTCCAGCATGGGCAGAGCCCTTTCCATCCTGTCCCGACCATCCTGAGCAGGCAGAGAGCATCTGATCCTGACAGCACCAATTCCAGCCCTGGAGCACGTCCTGGCTTCGGGATCAGACAGCTCTTCATGGTGCTGTTTTGTCCTTTTGAAGGGAGGGAAGCTGAAGGTCACTCTGAGACCAGCCTGGTTTTCTGCAGGAGAGGATTTCAGCTGCTACAGAAAAGGATTGGGTGGGTAAACACTGAATAATAAAATCCAGTTAAACCAGCTGTCCTCGGGGTCGGTGGGGTTTGTTCTCTCTGCAGGATCCTAGTGCAGAGCAGCAGGGTGGGGGGGCTCTGGCAGGGTGAGGAAGCCCCCAGCTCACCAAATCCACAGAGCACAGCAGCTCCTCTCCTGACAGAGCTCATCCTGGCATGGGGAAAGGAGTGAGTGATGTGCAACCACCCTGAAAGGGAACCACCAGCTCCAGGGAGCTGCAGCGTTGATCCTCATGGGTCTCCCCTTCCCTCACCCCATTCCTGAGGCCTCTGAGTCCCGCTGCCCTGGGGATGCTCCAGAGCATCCATCCACCTCAGTGAGCAGCCGGAGTCCTCCCGTGCTCCATTGCTATGGCAACCCCTTCTCACAGGCATCTCCTCCTCTCTGCAGCAGCCACCCAGGGGGGGTCAGAGGCCTCCAGGGGGGTCAGTCACCCCCACCCCACCCCTGTGTCACTGCTGTGCGAGGAGGGAGGCAAACACAGCTCTCCCTGCACACCAGGCGCTGTCCCACTCCTCCCGCTCCACTTTGCTGCTCCTTCATCCCACCTCTGCTGCTGGGAGCTGGGTGGTGATGTTGGCAGGTTGGATTTACTCCAGGGGTTTCCTCTGGAGGGTCAGGGGGTGTCTGCACGGCCCAGGGTGACCCCTGTGCAAACCTTCAGATCCAGGGGAAGCACATCCTGAGCTCCACAGATCATGGGGGGTGTTCCTGCACCCGCTGGAGTGCGAGCATGGGCACCCAGGTGAGACCTGGGGACACCAGAGGTGAATTCTGTACATCTCTAAAAATCCTCAAGAGCTTTTTCCCTGAAGGGCAGTTGCAGGGACTGACTTCTCAGTGAGAGGGAAACTGAGGCACCAAGGGGCTGAGGTGCTTTTTGAAGGTCGTTCACAGGCTGAACCATTGCCTCTGCCATGTTTGCTCCATGCCAGAAGTGTCACTCGTGGTCTGTGTGGGCAAAAGGGCTTTTGTCAGCTGAGGTTTTGTCTCATATCGAGGCTTTTTTGTTTTCCCAGCCTCCAGAGGAGCAGGATTCCTCTAACCCAGACTCCTGCAGTCACTGCTCCTCCTCTGCAGTAAGAAATGGTGTTACAGGAATCCACACTCCACCTGGAATAGTGAAGGAAAAAGAATAATTTGCTCCCCACACCTCCACCTTGGCTAATTGTTGAACTCCCAGTGTAACATTCCTATTATTTCTCCATCCCAGGCCTGTGCTGATCCCTTGGGATAGGTCAGTTGACTTCTCCAATGGAAACCTAACCCAAGAAATCAATTGAAGGGGTTTTTTGTTGTTGTCTCAATGACCTGTTGTGTTCTGTGCTTTCAGGGTTCATCTGAGGGAAGGGGAGAGCCCTGAGCAGAGGTTCTTACTGAGGTGTGAGCAAACCCTCACCCTGTTTTGGGGCTGAACTCGTTACCCCTAATTAGGGGTGGCAGGAACTCCCTGTGGCAGGTGTGATAATGAGACAAATCAAGGATTAATCACTCAAATCCCCTCATCACAGGCCAGCCCAGGGGGGCCAAGCCTAGGGCAGGGTGACTGGGGTGATGTGGATTTGAGCCAGAGGCAGGTTTGTTCCTGGCAATTTGGTAACTCTCAGGCACCAGAGGGTTTGTGTCACTGCACAAGGGCGTTTTTCACACCCTCACAACTCTCAGATCTCTTTCTCCACAGCAGGTCTTTGATCCAAGTCCAAGATATTGATAGGAAATGAGAGGTGGCTCCCTTCTGTCACTCTGGGGTTTGGGCAGGCTGGGGAAGAGAGCTGCCAGTTTAGGGGGTGTCCCTGCAGAGGGAATGAGAGGTTTATGTTACACCAGACAGAAAGTGAGGGATGAATCAATGCTGCTTTTGGGGTAGAAAAACCACATCTCCTCCAAAGCCGCTGGGAGTTGTGGTGGCAGGGAGGGGGAGTTGTCAGCAGGGTTGTGACAAAGGGGATGCTCCAAGCTGCTGTCCTGCTTTCATGGTCCAATGCTCTAAATGTTAACTCAGCTGTGCCCAGGGCTCAAATTCCAGGGGCCATTCTCACCCGGAGGATTCCATACACGCTGAAGCACAGGACAGGAGGGTTTGTGTGGGGCTCTGTTTTGTAGCTGTGGCATTGAGAAAACGATAAAAATATGATCCTTGCCAGGGGTTAGCAAATCCAGCAGCCCAGTGTGGAACTGCAGCAGAGCCTTGGACTGCCTGCTGGGTTTGGGCCACCCTCAGCAATCTCCACAGAGGTCTCATAGGACAGAAAAAAAAGCAGCTTAGAAATGAGGTCTTTAAAGTCATTACTTGTTTTCATTTATTGATTTGGGGAAGTTGGAGTGGGAGGAAATGTAAATTTATCCACATGCCCTGAGCCCTACAGAGCACCCCTCCACCAGGGCAGCCCACTGCTTTCCCCTCTTTTTAAACAGAAGAAGGAAAATTGTTTCTGTTCCAGGCACGAGAGCTGTTGGCTTCAACCTGACAGAGTGTCTGTGAGTGCTCCCTCTCCACGAAAAGCTCTCATTAACATAAATAGGAGCAGGAAGGAGACCACAACATGACTAATTCTCCACCCCCACACTGTCTGTGTGTACACTATCAGCTCCTCCTTCAGCTCATGTGCCCCCACACAATTGTTGGGATAAGTCTTGCTCTCACTCGGTGTTTATTTTAAATTGAATCTTCTTACTGAAAAGGTTGGAGAGGCGTAATTATGGTCTGGATTTCAGAGCTCACGTGCCTTTGTGGAAATGGCAGGCAGAAGAATGGCTGAGTAGCTCTAGGAAGCTGCACACATCCTGCCTGGTTTTCCAAGCATCTCACCAGGCAGGCAGAAAAGTATTTTGGTTTGTGCCTGATGTTCAGAGGAGAGCTCTGGATCTATTCCTAGCTCAGCTATAGATGAGCACACGACCTTGAAAATGTCTCTTATCTGATCCTGCTGGCAAATGAATACAGAAGCTGCCTGAGCTTAACTCTTGAGGAGTTGTTGAGTCCTCTGCCCCTCCAGGTGCCAGGGTTTGTCAGACCAGCTTTAGGCACAGCCTCCATGAGGGCTGCAGGAGGAGAAGTGGGGAGGAGGCTCCTGGGCTGCTGCTCCTAAGGGTTGTGTGCAAGGGACCATTCCCACTGGACAAACTGGACGTGGCCAGTGATGGAAGCCACAAGTCCAAGTCTCCCTGGGTGTCTGAACCCAAACCATGCCAGCACCCCAGATAGTTCCTCACATGGCAGGGACGTGTTCCTGACTGGAGCCAGAGGGTCAGGAAGGAGCTGAATCCTCAGGCTGCAGCTTTAACAAACCCAGAACTAAACCCAGATCTGTAAAACTGGAGGGGGGTGTGGTGTGAGGGAGAATAAATCCCTTTTTCCAGTTCTCCTTTTGACTCAAACTCTTGGGAGAACTTTGGGTTCGCAGAATCCCAGAACGGTTTGGGTTGGAAGGGACCTTAAAGATCATCCAGTGCCACCTCCTGCCCTTGGCAGAGACACCTTCCACTGTCCCAGATCGATCCAAACCCTGTCCATCCTGGCCTTGGACACTTCCAGGGATCCAGGGTCATCCACAGCTTCTCTGGGCACCCTGTGCCAGGGCCTCCCCACCCTCACAGGGAAGGATTTCTCCCTAATATATTATCTAAACTTCCCCTCTTTCAAGTTGTCCTATTTCATTTGGACCTGATTTGCCTACATGGGGAAATGTGGGTTTGCCAGGCAGAAAATCAGCAAAACCAGACAGCCCAACATCCAGCAGCAGCCACTGCTGTCTCCAGAGGACTTTGGAGTCTGGGAATGTGTCCCTGCCTCCTTGGCAGCCCTTCCGTGGCCCCTTGAGTTAAGATTGGAGGTGCAGGTAACCAGAGCTTTGCTAAAAGCCTGTCTGTTCCTGCCCCAGAGCACTCAGATAACTGAGGTGAGGTCACCCTCCCCAGCAGCACCTTGGCACTGAGCCTCTCCCAAAACCCTCACTCCCCTGCTCCAGCAAGAGCTGTCTCTCCTCACTCCCTTTTCCTTCTCAAAACCAACCCTTTTTTTCTTTTCCTTTCTTCCAGGTGTTCATCCAAGGCTAGTTTGGTGCTTGAGCAGGGGCCCACACCTCAGCTGTCCTCCAGGGAGCTGTGCTGAGCACCTCGTGACCCCTGGGCAAACCTTGAGGGTTCTCATCTCCATCCTTGGTCCTTCCCAGCCCACCTCTATGCCTTTGGACCCCCAGAGAGGATGTCTGTGCCCCAGATCCAAATAGAAGAGGCTCTGGACAGCATGGATGCAGGCTCTGGGGGGGTTCCTCCTCCGGATGATCACCTGAGGACCCTCAAGGCGTTGACAGAGAAGCTGAGACTGGAGACCAGGCGCCCTTCCTACTTGGAATGGAAAGCAAAGCTGGAGGAGCAGGCTTGGAAGAGTCCCCAGCCCGAGGGGGACGGGGAGGACGAGGCCACCAAGGCCAAAAAGACCCCAGGGGAGACTGTCCCCATGAGGAAGGTGCAGCTGCACCTCAACGGGAGCCCTGCCCAGGACAAGGGGACTGTCACCTCAGGGAGAATAGGTGGCTTTGAGAGCATCGACGAAGCTTTGACGTGGCTCAGGAAGGAGCTGGTAAGTGATTGCCTGTCCCTGTTAGCACAGATTTCCCAGGGGGGATAAAAATGAAAGAGTGGGGAAACTCCTTGTTCCTACCTGCCTGCAGCCCCAGGTGGAAAGGCAACAATCAGTCATTGTGTTTTCCATCACTCATTGCGTTTTCCACACCTGGCTCTTCCAGGTCCATCCTCTGTTGCCTTTTCCTTGATTCAGATCCAGTCTGCATTTCAGTCACCCTCCCATCCCAGCCTTGGGCCCTGTCTCACCCATCTGTTTATTTCTGGTGGTTATGTGCTGGGCATTTCACAGAGAAGGAGGGGAAAAAAAAGCTTTGTCTTTCCTAGGAACCTGTGCTAGGAAAATCCAGAGAGCCAGGGCACAGGGCTGGAATTCACCTTTTCTCTGTCACTTTGCTCTCGTGGTCTTTGACACAAATTCATCCTTGGCCCTACCCAGCTCCCAGCCAAGCCCAGGAGTCAGCACAGCCTGGGGATAATTCCCAGAAGGATGCACCAAGCCTGACAGAGTTCAAAAAATGTTTGGAAAATGCTCTTGATCACGTAGAGTGATTTTGGGGTTGTCCTGTGCAGGGCCAGGAGCTGGACTCAATTCTTGTGGGTCCCTTCCAGCTCAGGGTATTCTGTGATTTTCTGGGGGTCTATAGGATGGATATCTCCCTGTCACAGCAGCTGAAGTCAGAGATGGAGACCGAGTTCAGGTGCCCTTCACAAGAGTAGAAGCAATCAGACACCAAAAACACACTTCCCAATGATCCTTCCCTTCTCCTCACTGGCAGGAAAAGTCTTTATTTATTTGGCCCAAATCACTGGAAGTGACTCATGACACGTGGCTTTGTTTCTGTTGCCCAGTTGGAATTTTGCCTGTGAGTCCCAGCAGGAATATTTGCAGCAGGGTCTGGGACATCACTTGTGGCCAACACTTGTGAAAATGTTCCTGTGCAGACATTTTGCTTCTGAGAAGCGCTGAAATCTTTGAGGAAAACTTCTGACAAAAACAAATAACAGTTTTGAAGATTTCTTTGTGACTTTTGCCTCAGATAACGTTGATTTGTCAACTTTCTGTTGCTACATTCACCCAACTCCACTGGTCCCCCTAAGGATTTATTTACAGAGGTGGTTCTGGATATTGCATTTTGGTGACTTTCTTTCTCAGGATTGTGGCTTTCAGGAATATTAGGAACAGCTTTGAGATGATCCCCTACAGCCCCTCAGTGCTCTGGAGAACCTCAGCTCCAGATCTGTGACCTGAATCTGGGTGCAATCTTAAATTCACACTTGATGTAAACCCCGAATCTCAAGATGATCAAAGAGAGTAAGAAGCAGATTTTCCTCCTCAGAACCCTCGATTTTAAAAGATTTGGGGTTTTCTTTCAATCTCTGCCTGTGATGGAAGTACAAATTGTCTCAGAGTCTGATTCTACCCTTAGACTGGGGTGTGGTGTCTAAACCACCATCTGTCAGAAACTGAAAGTTTAAATTAAAGACGAGAAAAGGCCAAGCAAACCCTAATTGTTCCTAACTTTCCATTTCCCAGCCACTTAATTATACTGGTCTTTGCTGGATCTGGACGTGACTGGTAATTTAGAACAATTTCCCCAAAAGAGAGAGCAATTTTTTGACCGAGCACAGGGTGAAATAGCTGTGCTGGAGGCACGAGTGTGGGTAAGAGCTGCCAGCAGGCAGAGGGAGCACGGCCAGGCCATCCCATCACACGGTGCTGGAACCAAAAGGTGCATTTCACATTACATTTCAAGGGTGAAATCCAGTTTCTTGTCAAATAGAGGAACAAGTTTCCAAACATCCCAACACAGACAGGATTTTTCCTCGTTTTTCCTCGTGTTGTGGTGGCAAAGCCATCAGGAAGGCTCCACAGCATGATGAAGCCCAGAAACCAAGCAGGTCCTGGGCTGATCCCCCAGTGTGGGCAGCAGGGGAGGGTGGGATTGTGTCCCTGTGCCCCTCTCATGTGAGACCCCACCTGCAGAGCTGCCCCAGCCCTGGGGCCCAGCACAGGGAGCACCTGGAGCTGCTGGAGAGAGCCCAGAGGGGGCACCAGGATGAGCAGAGGGATGGAGCAGCTCTGCTGTGGGAAAGGCTGAGGGAATTGGGGGTGTTCAGCCTGGAGAAGGTTTTGGGATGACCTAATTGTGGCCTTCCAGTTCCTGAAGGAGCCTACAAGAAAGATGGGGAGGGACTTTGGACAAGTGCCTGGAAGGACAGGACAAATGGCAATGGCTTCCTTCTGCCAGAAGGCAGAGTTAGATGGGAAATTCGGAAGGAATTCTTGGCTGTGAGAGTGGCGAGGGCGCCCAGAGAAGCTGTGGCTGCCCCTGGATCCCTGGAAGTGTCCAAGGCCAGGTTGGACATTGGGGCTTGGAGCGACCTGGGACAGTGGAAGGTGTCTCTGCCCAGAGCAGGGTGGAACAAGATGAGCTTTAAGGTGCCTTCCAAGCCAAACCATCCCACGATTCTGTGATCCCACCATAAGGTTATTTAGGGTCTGTAGGATCCACCTGTCCTATGAAGAGGCAGAAGCTGGTGAGTGTGGAGATTGTTTCCATGCAGGAAAGAAGTGCAGCAGCCGTGTCCTTACGGAATGAAAGGCAGAGCGTGCAGCTCCATCACCCCCAACCCTCAGCACAGCTCCCAGCGTGTTCAGGCTGGGCTGTTTCAGCAGCATCCCCCTGGAATGGTTCTGGCTTGTCCCAGGGAGCGTCCTGCCAAGCACATGGAGCTTCAGGAGTCTGCACATGCTGGGGGCTGTTCCCAACAGGCAATTGGTACAGGACCACCCAGATTTGGATTTAACTCTCTCCCAGCCAAAAGCAGCAGAGGCAGGAGAGTAAATTTGGTACAGTCATGGAAGGGTTTAAGTAGGGAAAGCCCTCTAAGACCATCGAGTCCAAGCACTCCCCAGCACTGCCAAGGCCAGCACTAAACCATGTTCCCAAGCCACATCCACACAGCTTTCAAATCCCTGCAGGGATGGGGATTCCTCCACTGCCCAGGGCAGCTGTGCCAGGGCTGGACAATCCTTTTGCTGAAGAAATTTTTCCTAATATCCAATTTAAACCTCTCTTGGTGCAACTTGGGGCCGTTTCCTCTTGCCCTATCTCTTGTTACTCCCAATCTGCACAAAAGTCATCATCTGACACTGTAAGGAATTTTCCTGTGTGTCTCCAGAGCCTGCTCTGATTTGGCTTCAGCCAGGTTCAGGCTGCTCACCTGGAGAAAAGATAAACCCAAGGTTTTATTGTCCATCTGCCTTTCCTGGCCTGTCACCTCACGTGACCCATCCCAGACCCTGGTTCTGCACCCCAGGCTGGGTTTGTGGGACTGACATAAACCCACAGAGCCTCAGCCACGTCAGCTGGGCCCTGCTGAGAACCTGGCCCCGAGAAGCTGATTTATTCAGACATGCAAACTGCTCTTGTTTTTGTGCTGAGAGGCTCTGTGGAGGTGTAGGAGCAAATTGCAGCTCTCAGCACATGCTGAGCTGCCCTGGGGCTGGAACATTTCCCTCCCCAGCTCCTCCTGCCTCTTTGCCCTTGTGTTTGCCTTTGCACTGTCAAGAGTGGCAGCTCCTCATCTGTGCCCAGAGCAAAACCATCCCCAGCCCAGGGAGGGTGACAGACTTGAGGACTCACACTTTGCTCTTTGAAATCTGCCAGGTTTTACAAGTTATGAAATTAAGCACTCTCCCTCCTAAGTACAGCTAAAGTACAACCCTATGAACAGGGACATCTTAGAGCAGTTTTAACTCTGTCCTTTTAGGAAAAATGAGTTTTCTATCTCAAATTCACCAGTTTGGCACTGAAATCTGGGGGGTGTGAGTCAGAATGCAGGAAAGACTTGAAAAGGAACACAAATGTCTGATGGTCCCTCCTGGGAAATCATAAAACACCAGTGCCCTATTGGTCAGATTTTTAAAAATTAAATGTTAAGCCCTTTTACTTTCATTTGGGATATTCATATTGGCTGAACAAGTGCTTGAGTGAATTTAAACAACGAAGCAGCAACAAATTTCCTCATTATGAGGGTGGTGGGTCCTGGCACAGGTTGCCCAGAGAAGCTGTGGGTGCCCCTGGATCCCTGGAAGTGTCCAAGGCCAGGTTGGATGGGACTTGGAGCAGCCTGGGATAGTGGAAGGTGTCCCTGCCCATGGCAGGGGTGGAATGAGATGAGCTTTAAGGTCCTTTCCAATCCAAACCATTCTGTGACTCTGTGACCTCTACTGTTAAATTGCTGAAACCAGGGAAGAGTTTAGGATTTGTCATGGAACAGGACAACCCCCAAGGGTCCCTTTGGGTTCAGCCACCCTGTTCTGGGGAGAGAGGGAGCCAGCACAGCCTGAACAACACTGAGGAAGAGTGAGATGTGGGGCCCATGACAGGCTTTGCATGGTCCAGCTGGCAGAGGACCCCTGGGATTTGGTGGTGGGTAACTCCCAGGGGCTCCAGAAGGATCTGGGAAAACTCATCTGGGGCTGTGGGTTGCACTACAAGGGCGTGAGCACCTAAAATTAATCATGACATGGTGGCATCTGAGCACTTCTGAAGAAGCCCCAAAATAAAACACGAAGTGGACTTGTCTGAAAGGTTTGGCAAGGATCTGACAAGTGGCCTGCGCTTCTTTGTGCTTGAATCCAAGTGGGTGCACTCAGGAAAGTGCCAATTCACATTTCAGCTTCTTTTGATCTTTTGGAGATGCTCCCTGTGGGAGCAGCTGCCTCTCCACAGACCATCCCCCTGAGCTCATGGACCAGGCTGGGGCTTCATCCACAGGGATCTTCTCTTTTGGGAAGAGAGGGAAATCTCAAAGAGCTCCTCACCTCCATGCCTTGAGGTGCTGCCTGCTGAAAATCCCCCAAAAGCAATGCATAGAAAAGCTGGACTGCTGGAAAAGGGAAAATTGCTGGTCTTCCTGTCTGATGAAGGCAAAATTGAAGGCAACTGCATGTAGCTATTTAGGATGAGCCACCTAGACTGGAAAACAAAGGATGTATCCAAAGCTTTCTCTCCCTCACCCATATTAAACATCCCTGGGACACTCTGAGGATCAATCCAAGCAGAAAATCCTCCCTAGGTTCATAAGATCCTGTGGTCCCGAGCTTTCCATTTCAGCTTCACTGCCAGGAAGGACCTGAGTTTGGTTCCCTCTTCCAGCCTGGGAAGCTCAACCCGGCATCCTGTCCATTCCAACAGCATTCCCCAGCCCTGCTGGTGAGAAACAGCTGGAGCTGGGTGTGCAGAGAGAGGCAGAATGTGTTAAAATGCTGGTTTTTATGAGCAAGAAACACCTAAGGCTCTTCCTTTCCCTGGCCATGAGAGGATCAAAGAAAATCAAAATCCTGGCTTTGGCTGGATGCTCCCCACGGGTTTTTCCAGGATGCTGCATCCGTGTGTGGGATCCTGCTGCCACCCCACACGGATAAACCGGAGTGTGGAGTTACCCCGTGGTGACCAGCCCTGTGGGTGAACTCTGCAAGCCAAAAACCCCACAGCTTCCCCCCTGTAATCCCAGAATTCACTCCCAGGCAGCTTTGTGGAGCTCTGCTGTCCTGACAGCAGCTGCTTTTAAAGGGACATCACCCATCCTTTCCAGAGATTGTTTGGGCCTCAGCATGGGATGGGGGGAAATGGATTTAGAGTTTGTGCAGAGCCTCTGGGAAAGGGAAGGAGAACGAGGATTCCTGGGCTCTGGCTGTGATTCTGCTCAGTATTCTGGGAGGGTTTGAACAGAGCAGAGTTCAATGGGACAGCTCCAAGGATGCAGGGCAGGGGGTTCGCATCTCCAGCCAAGCCCCAGGGATGAGTGTGGGGGGTGAGGGTTCATGCCCCACAGAGTGGCTCAACTTTGGTGCTCCACCCTCAGCTGTCCCCCCACAGAGCTGCCTCCACAGGACCTGTCACCAGGAAAGGAACTCCCAAGCCCTTGGGAAGACAAGGCAGCCTTCCAAGGAGCACAGGCAGTGACAGCCCTCATCCCATCTTCCATCTCCCCCGTTGTGCGCACCATCCTCTCACAAAAACATGGAATTCTAAATTCCTTAAATTGGGAAAGCCCTCGAAGGTCATCAAGTCCAACTGTTAACCCAGCACTGCCAAGGCCACCACTAAACCATGTCCCCAAGTGCCACATCCACACGGTTTTAGTCAACCATTGCCAGGCTTTGTTCCTTATCTTTATTTTCTGGAGCTCTTTGCCTTCCAGCTTACATGAAATCAGATTCCTCAAAAGAGGGGGAAAACAAGAACAGGTCAAAAAATGTAAAGCTGGTTAGCAAGAGAAAAAAAGCACCTATAACACACAGCCCTCTGCACAATGGCCTCATAATTCTCTTTTAAATGCTTTTTTTTTTTTTTTTTTTTTCCTGGCAGCAGAGGCTTTTTTAATCCCACATTCTTCCAAATATTCAATGAAAGCCTTTGTTGGCATTTCTTAGGTAACTTGATACGCCGAGAAGAAAGAATGACCCAGGGTCACTCAATAACACCTGTGATCACCTCGCTGATAAAAATCCAGCATTTGTTGTGAGACAGGAAAAAAATATCAACAGAATGATTTTTTTTTATTATTTTTATTGTAACTCAGGTGGGAGAATAAAAACCTGCCAAGTGGCATTGCTCTGCTGGGGGCACAGGTTATGAGGTCTGACAGGAAATAGTGGGGTTTTTTTCGATAAAGGTAAATGACCCCAGCCGTGCCAACAATTTGAGAGAGATTTCCTGAGAGAGAGATTCACTCAGAGATTGGTGCAAAGGTGACTTAATCCTCTCCAGACAGCCAAGCTGGAGTCTTACTGCTGGCTGGGAGCATCAGGCAAGGTCCCCCAGGATGCCTCTGTAGAGTCAGAGAATCAGAGAATGATTTGGGTTTGAAGGGATTTAGATACTAGAAAAGAGTTTTTCCCTGTGAGAGTGGGGAGGCCCTGGCACAGGTTCCCATCCCTGGAAGTGTCCAAGGCCAGGCTGGATGGGGCTTGGAGCACCCTGGGATAGTGAAGGTGTCCCTGTCCATGGCAGGGGGTGGAACTGGATGATTTTTAGGGTCTCTTCCAACCCAAACCATTCTGGGATTCTCTGTTTGCCTCATGTTTTGTTTGATCATGGCACAAGCTAAAGCAACCCCGAGGCTGCTTTGGTTCACACCCTCCTTGCAGCAGCCCTTGTGTCAGGCATGGAAAGGTCTCATGTAGGAATATCAGGGTCTCTGTGGGCTCTCTAAGGCGAGCTTTCCCTCCTCCTTCCCCTTCTGCATCTTCATGCACAAGCCACCAGGCCAGGAATAATTTACTCCCGTCCCCCAGAGCTACATCTATACCTACAAATTGAGCAGCTCGTTTTCAGGCCTGGAGGGAAACTGATATGGTCTGATCACATCCGTGCTGCTAAAATCCAGGAAAGGGAAATTTATCCCAAATTTTTTTATCCCAAGTTTTATCCCAAAACGTTTCCAATTCCTAGAACTGGCTGAGCTGGAAAGGACCTTAGAGATCATCCTGTTCCAGCCCCTCTGGTGAGCCTGCTCGGCTTCTTTCTCACCTTCTTTTCTTTGTAGCTTTTGTGGTTTTGTTGCTTTTCTGTGAGGAGGGAAGTGGGAATTGTCTTGATCTGATTTTCCAGCCCTGCCTGCTCCTTTTGCCAGGCTGATTCCCACACCAAGTGTTCACCTCCTTCCTTCACTACCCACAACAGCCTGTGACAATGAATTTTCTAAGTTATGAGTTAGATCCTTTTTTAATAAAAGACCTCTTTCTTTTCATTACTTCTGAGTCTTCCACCTTCCCAAGCCAGGTGCCAGGGGAGAAAAAAATACCTCCAAAACATCTAGATCATTAGCTTGGGAGGTTGTATTTTTCTGTCCTGTGGGAAACCATGGAGGTCCCATCCTGAGAACCACTTCAGATCACCCAGATAAAATAAGCCACAGGGGAGGTGGAGTCTGTCATGGACCAGCCCTGATTTATGCAGGCTGGAAACCCAGGCTGAGTATTTGGTGATCAGTTCTTTTCTTGGTGTTCTTTTAATTGGTCCTTTCCACTTCTAATTGCTCTGTCTCCCTGTGGCTGCTGCCTTATGAGCAAAATTAATTTGGGCTTTGTTTAAGGTTGAGAAGGAGGCTCTGAAGCCTGACGGATACCCAAGCCAACAGCCTTGGCTCGGCTTTAATTCCCGTTTCCTGGTGCTCCTGAAAACATGAGCAGGCACAGAATTTATTGTTAAAAATTCCCCATCTTGAGCTGGTAATTTTCTGGGATGCATTGCTGGCTTGGAAGATCCCTGTCTCCCTCACAGATCCAGCACCTCTGGATGAGTTCACAGAATCAACAAGGTTGGAAAAGACCTTTGAGACTGAGTCCAACCTATGACCTAACCCCACCTCGCCAACCAGACCATGACACAATCAGCCTTTTTTTTAAACACCTCCAGGGATGGTGACTCTGTCACCTCCTTGGGCCGCCCATTCCATGCCAAATCACTCTTCCTGTGAAGAGCTTTGTCTTGACGTCCAGCCTAAACTTCCCCTGGAGCAGCTTAAGGCTGTGTCCCCTCATCCTGTTGCTGATTCCCTGGGAGCAGAACCCGGCCCCACCTGGCTGCACCCCTCTGTCAGGGAGTTGTGGGGATGATGGTGATGATGAGGGCTCTCCTGAGGCTCCCCCAGCTCCCTCAGCCGCTCCTCACAGGGCTTGTGCTCCAGACCCTTCCCCAGCCCTGTCACCCTTCTCTGGACGCGCTCAAGCACCTCAACACCCTTCCATTCCCCACAATTCGCCCTCCCCAGCAGGGAGACAGCGGATTTGCCACTAAAAGACCTTTTCCCTCCCTGCTGCAGGCAGACATGCGCCTGCAGGACCAGCAGCTGGCCAGGCAGCTCATGCGGCTGCGCAGCGACATCAACAAGCTGAAGATCGAGCAGACGTGTCACCTGCACCAGCGCATGCTCAACGATGCCACCTACGAGCTGGAGGAGAGGGACGAGCTCGCCGACCTCTTCTGTGATTTCCCCCTCGTGAGCTCCTTCAGCCTCTCCACGCCCCTCAAGCTCATCGGGGTCACCAAGATGAACATCAACTCCCGCCGGTTCTCGCTGTGCTGAACGGGGGGGAAGGAGAGGGAAGGACGGGGGAGAAAGAGGGAGAGGACTCTCTCTGCCTCATGGCTGGGTGAGGAGAGGCCAACGAGGAGCAGAGGGAACCCGCAGCTGGGCTTGGTGGCAGCGTAGAGGTGGCCACTGGAATGGCTCGTGGGGAAGGCAGGACCTGCGTGGAAGAAGCCTGGAGAGCATCCAGACACAACACATCACTCAGCTCCTTTGCCAAGTCCCTTCTCCTCCTCTTCCTCCCACAGGACGCAGCTCGGTGTGGGTGGCTGTGCTCAGAAATCAAAGGAGGGGTCAAAAATCAGCCACAAAGCAAAATCCCTCTTCCCTTCCCCTTCCCCTCCTCCCAGGCTGGAGCAACCACGTCACTGTCCTTCATGGATGTCTCCTTGGGCACCAACCCTCAGCCTCTGCTGCTCCAAGCGTGTGATCCATGGGGCTGCTTCAGGTGGGAAGCTGATTTCCAGCGGGAAGGAGCCCTCCCAGCAAGCAAAGGACTGTGAGTCAAGTGGCACCAGCACCAAGAAGCGGTGAGAAGGTTTGTTTTTGGATTGCTCCGTAGAGTCCAGGGCACTACAGCCTCTTCTTGCCTGTGGCATAGATCATGGACTCAGCATGGGCACATTCAGAGATTCCAGCTGCCCAGAAGTCTCCTGTGTGCCCTGGAAGTCACACCTGGAGCAACACCCGTTTCTGGCCCTGTTGGATCCTGCTGTCAGCCACAAGACACCCTGTGGTTCACCCTGAAAACAAGGAAGTGTTGTACCCAAGACATCTCCTGACAGAGAAACCCCCAGGCTGACACCCCCCAGCAGCAGCACCAGCAAACCCCGGATCCTCTGTAGCAACACACATCCATCCGAGAGAGGAACTTCAAGAGGAGAAAGGGGACTTTTGGGTAATGAACTCAAAATAAGACTTAAAACCTAAGGGAGAAATTGCTGTGATGAGCAGCACAGGGGGTTCCCTCCCTGCCCAGCAGAATGTGAGATGGATGCTGTATTTTCTTGCCTTTCCAGTGCACACAGCTGCCTGTACCTGGCACGGGGGGCAGAGACCTCTGGTGCTGCCCAGCAAGGGACTCCAGAGGTCTTGCCATGGCAATTTTGGGGCACCTGGCACCCAAGACTGTACAGATCAATCGTGGATGCCTTCAGGCTCTCCCTCCTGTGCCCACACCACTCCTGACCCTGTCAGAGTGGAGCACTCCTGCCCGTGGTGTCCCTGCCCATGGCAGGAGGGTTGGAATCAGATAATCTTTATGGTCCTGTCCAACCCAAACCATTCTACGATCTCAGCCCAGCTCTGCTCCTCACCCCGTGCCCGAGCAGGAGCAGACCTGGCTGTGTCCACAGCCCAAGGCCTGGGAAGGAGCAGGAGGAGCAATCCCACTGCTCTGGAAGCTGTGGCTGTGTCGATGTGCCTGTAGCTGTCTGTGAGCTCTGTGTGTGTGTGTCAGTGGCTGTGTGTGTGCATCTGAGCCCGCAGGACGCCTCTCCCGGGAGGCTCCGGGCTGGGTTCACGCCTTTGTTCCGAAATGTGACGGGAACCGGGATCCGGCGAGACCCCGACGTGCCTGGGAAGATGAAAGGAGGCTTCCAGACCTGGGGCTCCACAGGGAGTTTTAGGTTGGTGCAGGGAAGACAAATAATTTGTGTGCAGCCACAGGTCTCCCTGGTAGGGACAAATTAAGGGGTTCAGAGACGTGTGGGGTGGGGAGTCTGAGCTGAGCTCAGCCCTCCATCCCCCACAACCCCTGGGTGATGCCTCCCCATCCCCTCCAAAGCTCCCCGAGTATCTTTTCTTTCTGCTAAGGAAGGAGGAATTTCAGGCACCAGGGCTTTATCTGTACCATCAGCACCATGCCTGGGTGCTGAACCCTGTGCTCCTTTTATTTTGGGTTGTGACCAGACTGTCACTTGGCCTCTGGACAAGACAACCAGCCACGGTGCCATTCAGTTTACTAGGAACAGCCTTATTTCCCCATGGACATCTTGGAAAAAAGAAACAAACCCACCTCATTAAAATTCTTCTTTGTTTACATTTTTTCATAAAAATAAATCAGTTTATGTCCCACATGTTGATTTTCAGAGGTGTTTTCAATCAGTGGATAGAAATTATAGGTTTTTTACATGAAAATAATGCCTTGGAAAGGGGGATTGGTTCTCTTTAGAGTCAACTGGAGTGGAGTACAGGGTGGGCCTGCCTTTGGGCTCTTGTCTGGTAGCCAAAAGCAGGAGATTAACTCAAGCACAGTCCTAGTGGGTCATCACACGTGGCATTAGAAAATCAGACGTCTGGGTTCCAGACATGCATTTTCTGCATTAAGGGGGATGAGGGGTGGGTGTAACTGCCAGCTGTTTGTCGAAATGCACAGTTTTTTTAATCATAAAAACTCTGTCTGTATTGATTTCTGCCTCTGGTCTCTCACTGTGCTGGGGAAGCACCAGGATGGTGTGCTCCAGGATTACAGGTGTGCCAGGTTTTTTTTTTTCCTGGCAGGTTTTTGTATCCACTCACACCCATCAGCTCCACCTGGCAGTCCAGGAGGGATGGGAGGAAAATAAGGTTGGAGCAGTTATGGTGTATTTGGACAAAAATGTGTGGGAGATAAAGCAAAAAAAATAAATATTAAAAAAATAATTTATGTTTTATGTTAGCTAGTCACTGGGTGAAAAGTGAGTCCAGGCAGTTGACAAATATCAGGTTAGGGAGGAAAAATAAATAGAAATAGGCCTGATTTTTGCTGAATTTTCTTTAAAGTAAAGAGTCATCCAAATGCTGGATCAGATTTGAGAAACATGAGGACAGGTCACTGTTCCCACCACAAAATTCCCAGAGAGGAGCCTGCAGGTCTCAGCTGTCCACAACGAGATGATTCAAACCCTCGAGTGCTGCTTCCTCTCCTGTGGCTTGCAGCCACATTCCCTCTCCCAGAAGCCTGGAGACAAAAGCTGGTGGAAATCAAGGTTGGTCCTGCAGAAGTCCATCCTGAAAATGCTTTTTTTATGGGCCAGCTGCATCTCCATCTGGAGCACCAGTGGCTGCTGCTCCATCTCTTGGAAGCAGGAATCTTCTGGGCGCTGATTCCAGTGTTGTCCTCAGCCACCCAGCAGTGAGACACGTTCCTCATGAAGAGGAAGAGCCAGTTTCAGACTAATCCATGGGAATAATTAACTGCATTTTTAATTTAGGTGGCCAGGCTGGAGGACTGTGGATTTCTCCAGGCTAACTAGAAGATAAAATTTCAGATTATTTTTCCTTGTTCCCAAAAGCTCAATGCAAATTTTAAACTGGGAGGGTGGGGGGAGGGGGGGTGGAATCAGTCTAGCATTTTAATTGGATAAATTTTTATTTTACTCACAACTTAAACACTTTGTTTAGAATTCTTTGCTTAGGAAGAAATTCTTCCCTGTGAGGGTGGGCAGACCCTGGCACAGGGTGCCCAGAGAAGCTGTGGCTGCCCCTGGATCCCTGGGAGTGTCCAAGGCCAGGCTGGACAGGGCTTGGATCAGCCTGGGATAGTGGAAGGTGTCCCTGCCCATGGCAGGGGGTTGAAACTGAATAATTTTTAAGGTCCCTTCCAACCCAAACCATTCTGGGATTCTACAAAAATGGTTCTAAAAAATTTTAATAACAGCCAGGACATTAACACTTCATTTTCTTTCAAACGTTGTTTTACTATTAACTGTTAAAAAAATTTCCCTTGAAGGAGCCTTAATAAAACTTTTCCACTTTCTCTTTTTCAGCTAGACCCAATCCCTGAAGTTTTAGTCCGTCCAAAGCTCTACATTTTCTTACCATGAAAAAAATCAGTTAAAAATTAATTTTCCCAGATTTCTTTTTTTTTTTTTTTTTTCCTTTTTACTTCCTTTGGGTCAATTAAGAGGAAGCACAAGGCAATTTTGCACATTTTAATTCATGATCAGCTGGCTGCTCTCCCTGGCGTGGGCTGCCACAACCTAATAATGGACAGGACCTTGCTCCTCTGTCACAGCCCCAAAGCAGAAATGATGAAAAGGGTCATTGTTCCCAGAAAAGTGTCTAATTCCTGACACTTTTGGCACTGGGAATTGCTGTCCTGTAATCGGTGAGTGATTCGAGGTCTCCCACAACCTCCCCCGTAAAACCTTAATTAAATTCAGTGGAGACTGTCACAGAAATGCCACACTGGGTCTCCTCTCACCAGTAAAGCCAAGGGGTGACACATTTAAGGATTCAAAGACTGAATTTTCAGGCTGACTCTGCTACAGAGGATTTCAACTCTCACAGTTTAACCTTTTTTATAGATACAGATAACATAGATATGGATATATATGGGGAAAAAAATCCCAGCTGGAGTATTCCCAGTTTATTTCACAGCCTGACACTGTCTGCTGAGTGGGTTTTCCTTCAGATCGAGGCAGGCAGGAGGAGGGGGAAGGAAAAAACAAGGAATTTCAAGGAGGAGGCATCAGGCTCCACACCAGAACCGGAGCCAGACTCGCTTCCCCCGCTGCACGTTTCACAACCGAGTCTGAGGGGATGCACACGTGGGAGTGAGACATCCCAAAACCCGGGAGAAAACACCCCTCTGGCATCACTTATAAACCAGATGCTGGCCAGAGGAGCTGTGCAGGAGGAGCAGCACCCAAGGGTGTGCAAACCACTCCTAAAACCCTCCCTCATCTCCCTGGGACCTGGGAAATCTGGGAAGCTGATTGGCACCAGCACTTCCCTCTCCAGGCACGGGACACTCCTGAGCCCTGGGTGATCACACTCGCTCCTGGGAGCCCCAGGTTCCAATGGCTGGGAAGTTAAAAGGAAATGTAAATGTGGAATTTAAAGTAAACGATCGAATATGGGGAAAACTCCTGATTTCAGTCTTTCTTCTTTTATATTTTCAAACTATTTTATGAAGAAGGATCAAGAAACCACCTTCATTCACCCGTCATTCAGAGCAGCCAAGAGCTGGACTGGCTGCAAAAGGTGGATTTTACAGACTCCTTGCTGTCAGACAAACCATTCTGGTCACTGTTGCCCTCAACACCTAAATGTGTTTTAAAATGTTCTGGGGCCTCCACCGAGAGGGGTCTGCAGTGCCAAAGCTGTGGCTGTGCCATCCCTGGAAGTGTCCAGGACCAGGCTGGACAGAGCTTGGAGCAGGCTGGGGTAGTGGAAGGTGAAGGTTGGAACGAGATAATCTTTATTTTCCCTTCCAACCCAATCCATTCTGTGATCCCGTGAGGATGCTCAGTGCTTCACCGCTGCTCCTTCCCTGGATCCCCCCTCTCCCTTGTGGCTGCCTCAGCTCCCCCCAAGAGGGGGATGAGGGGGAGGAGGGAGGTTATTACACAATGTTTTTGTTCCACTGACAATTTCCCTCTGCCAGTTGGAACAGGCTGCTCATAAATTTCGGCTTTCTGGAGGGGTTTCAGGAGTTTTGCATTCTTAGATCATTGTCTGCCTTTCCCAGGAGCAATGGGGGGCAGGAAGGAGCTGCTCCAGAAATGCCATGTGCTATGGGGGGGATCTCTCCTGGGCAGGGATTGCTCAGGGGGGCAGAGGGAGCTGCCCTCCACTGCTCCCAGCCTGGGTAGCCGAGGAGAGAGCTCAGTGGGAAGCAGGAATGCTGCTGGCAGTGCCCTGTGGAGATCTGAAAAGTTCAGCTCCTTCCTGCCACTCCAGAGAGACGATTGGAGGGATTGTGCTGTGATTATAAGGTGGGAGCTGAGGTTTGGGGTGGCCTGAGCTGGAGATGCAGCTGAGCAGCTCCTGGGCTCCCAGCTGTGGGCAGGCTCAGCACGTCCTTCACCACCCTGGAAGCCGCTGGGGCTGGGGTTTTAGAGAAAATCTTGCCCTGCAGGTGAATTAAAACTCAAAGGCTGTTGCAAGGCCTCTAACCAGATCAGAGGGATCAAGTTCTTAATTCTCTCAGTCGCATCCTGGGAAGGCAGCAGCCTTTCAGAGCGTGCTGCTCCCTTCCCAGGCTGCCAATCCCAGCAGGTGGATTGCCAAGGGTGGGCTCTGCCTGCTCCACGAGGTTCCTGGCATGGTGAGGGTCCAGCAGTGCCTCCAACAGCAGGATGGGGTCAGGAGATGTGGGAGCCAGGGGTCACCCCAGACTGCCAGCCTGGCTGCTGAGGGTTTAACCATACAGACCTGGGCTTGTACCAGCTGGAATCCTGGGCACAGCAGTGACCCTGGTGCTGTTCAGTTCCCCCACAGAGCTGAGGAAACTCAGCCAGGACAGAGTGCAATAGTCCTTTCTTACAGACAGCAATCACTGAGGACTCAGGAATCTTGCAAAGGGACAATTCCCCAGTGCATTTTTAAGCCAAGGCTGTAGAGGCGAAGTTTTCTTGGCTTGTGACACACAAACCTCTCCCCCAGAAGTGGAATCACTCATTTGGATGGGAAAAACAGGAGCTGTGTTCTCACCAGCAACCAGGACCCATCCTGTGGCCTAAGACCAAGTGCCCAATCTGATCAAGTCCATATTATTAATTACAAAACAGCAGCCACACCAAACTACACCTTTGGAATGTCCCTGACCCATGAAAGCTCCCAGATTTGCCTCGGGGTTGTTGTCCCCTTGGACACTGAAATCCAGCACCTGGAAATGCCCCTCTGCTTTTGGTTTGCTCCCAGCCCCAACACAGCCCCAGCATGGACACCAGCAAAGTCCTGAAGAGGTTGTTTTTCCTTCCCTGGGTCTCTTCCAAGCCCACTCAGCCCAGAAAAGGGCCCCCAGCCCTCTGAGACCCCCAGAGGGAGGGGTGGCCAGCTCGTTCAGAAAGGTGGCTGTAAAATCTTAATTATCTCCATTAGCTGCCAGCCTGCTCTGAGTTGCAGTCCCAGGGATGCCAGGAGGTTTCCTAGTAACAGCATGCAATCAGCCAAAAAAAAAAAAGGGAATTATTTATCAGAATGTTCCTTGCCATGCAGGAGGAGAGGATGGCGGAGGAAGGATGTCCCAGGAGCTCTGCAGGGAGCAGCTGCAGTCTCCAGCACCTCTGTGGAGGATGGCAGGTTGTGGTGCTCCTGGAAACACTTCCTTTGGGCAAAAAACAGCCACCAAAAAATCTTGCTGGGTGGGAAAAGCCAGGGTGTCACACAAGAGCCAGGCTGAGCCCTTGCCCTGAGCTAAAAGGAACACTTCAAGCCCAACGTTGGCTGTATATACCTGGCCATATTTCCCGGGAAAAGCCCTTTTTGGAGTTTTTCACCATTTTCACATCCCAGCTTTGGGATGAGCAAGGGAAGGGACTGATCTTTAGAAACCTCGAGATTTGCCACGTGCTACGAGGTGAGGTGAAATTTGCCTCCTTGTTCATGATTCCATCCCACTTCTGGCAGGGAAGGAAAGGATTTAGCACCAGGGCTTGATTCCTGAGGGGTTTCCTCACATCCTCAAAACACCAGCCTGGCCCTGTTCAGAGCTACTGCCACAGAAGAAAGGCTGACTGCTTTGTGTGCTTCCTCTCAGCTGGAATTCCCGGGAATTCCCTGGAATTCTGTTTCTGCAGAGCACCTTATGCACCTTATCCAGAGAGCTGAACTTGGAGCCTGTGAGTTCTGGTCTTCTCATGTCCAGAAATTAATTCCCAGAATGCTCCATGATTTTTCTAGGGTCTAAAGATGGGGCTGACCTCCAGAGCTCTCCAAATCCTCCTTTGTCCCCTTTTTAATGTGGGTATAAATCCTGGAGACGCCTGAGGGAGGGCAGAGATCAGACACCAGGAGTTTTTTGGTGGATGACAGGCAGCATCCCCACAATTCCACCACAGAGCTCCATTAGAGCACTCCCAACCAGCCTCATGGATGCAAATACATTTAATTTCACTAAACAGCCCCTAAAATTTCGTTTCCCCAGCTGCTGGTTATTCTCCATCCCAAACACTGCTGTTATGTGCAGAAGCTTGGAGCAAGTCTGACCTACAGAAACTGAGGCAAAGAAGGGCATTCAACCTTTCCCATAATCAGCCTTTGTGAGGCTGTCCCCCCATCCAACAACACACACACATTTTCCCTGAAATGTGCTGTTAAAACGTTTGCAAACCCCCTTTTTTTGTCACTCTCAGCATCCCTGGCCACTCTCTGCTCCAGCTGGTCC